CAGTTCTTTTTATTTAGATCATGGCAATTTTTTGGTCAGAGCGCCCTCTAGTTTTGTGGAGAATCATGTTCATTTGGAATGCTCTGATTGGATGGAAGTTCAAGCCTAGCAAGGTGTGATAGAATTGGCCTGTTATGTTCAGATTCAAATAAGCATGAACCACTAATTTGACAGGGAAGTGATACTTATAATGCAGCAAGCTGTTCTAATTGCTGTTGTGGTAGAGTTTTTCTATTTTCCTGTCAAATGCATTTATTGGTCCACTGAAAAATGAAAATAATGTTCCCTGTAACTTAGACTCTTATTGATCAAGGCATTTTAAAAATCATGGGTGTTAACTCCCCTCAAGTTATGACCCGTTGTCCCCTACAGAATAATGGTTGCATCTAATATTAAAATAAAGATGGCGGAGTATAGCGTTGATTCATCTCGTTCTACTCTGGATTACTTGGAGTCAATAAAGATCCTAGAAAGTTAGTATTTATATGCCTGTGTGTTTTTTGTTTGTTTGTTTTTTCACTGTCTTTGACTTTCCCAGTATGTTTGTTGCTGTTGACAACAATTCAGTCCTCTGCCAGGCTTCAGTCAATGTTTTTCTTCACTACCTACCCAACTCCTCGTCGGGCACTATGTAGCTGGTGTGGTATATTTATCACAGACAGTAGGGCAATTGTCACATTTAGTGCTCCAAGAAAATATTCTCTGTCCATGTGTATTTATATAAATAGATGCAGTTTCTTTGGCTTGAATAACGATCACTGGCTTCTTACATACAGGTATACTGGTTTACCTGTTTCTAGTTGAAATATAGCCAATCTTATTAACCAAGACAGTTGGACATTTGCCACATGTCACAACACTCATTTCCAAGTGCCATAGCTTGAAACAAGTAGTCAAATCTGATATTGGCTGGAGCTTTAGTTTATATGGACATGGTAAATGGCAAACTAGATGGTCAGAAAATAATAAAAATAATCACAGCTTTACTCCACCCACCCCACTATGAAGTAAAAGGCTGTTTATAAGGCCATGTATGATGGTTTCATTTTTCTTATGGAAAACAATTTTAATTATAAACTTCTATGCTCCTGTACCCAACCGTGGGGGTTCATCACACTAAACAACAGGTGTCACTATTACTAAGAAAAATGTACTTTTTTCATTAAAATTACTGATATATATATATATATATTCAAAACATGTTTTAACTCCGGCGAAGCACACTGTGGGAGTCTTCGCAGATAGTGAGTATGTGTGTATGTGTGTGTCTGTCCGTTCCACCAATATCTCAAGAACCATATGCTTGATGCATAGATGCTCTGGACTAATGCGCAGCTTTTTTTAGGTTTATTATTAGACAATTTCTGATTTCTCAAAAAATCAGGTTTAAATTGAATTTGTGATAGAGGTTCTTTGATTAATTAATTAATTAGACAGAAATCAAATGTATCAAATAAAAGTATTATACATTTCGACAATGTGGATCACATTGTTTTCTCGTTGTACATCTCAACTAGAAGCCAAATATTAGCTGCCAAGATTCTTGTTTGAAAGGCTTATCTTAAATTTACACAAGCACACAAGAGTTCATTCAAAGTTTTCTTTGATTACTCAAATGATGATTCCACTGAAATACTTGAAATGGACAAATAGTTCAGTGTGTGTTTTATATTGTTTGTTGCTTTTTTGTTTTTAATACAGGAACCAAAAGTGTTATCGTCGTATCATATGAAGACTACAATGTTCTGGGTTAGCGAAGGATTGTCATCCGGGCAATGGTCCAAGAATGACCTTGCCGATCGATTCATGGAATTCTGGGATCGGATGATTTTCTTCTTAGAGCAAGGAATCATTCCAAATTTCTTCCTTCCAGAAAACAACATGATCAGTCACATAAGCCAAGAAGATATCGATGTTGTTTTACAGAAAGTTAAACACGTGCGTCAACAACCCTCCAAACACTTTAGAGATCTAGCGGTTCCGACCTCAACGTTTAACGTGATTAACTAGTAGAGTTCACTAAAGCACCTGTTCATACATCCGCTGAATTACACTGTAGTATTATGTATATTAATAACAAATATTATATATTTGTTTTATTGTATGTTTTAAGATGATGTCCTAAACACTATAGGAATGATCTATTATAGTAATCAACATGAAAATAATTTTCACCGTGAAAAATATAGAAATTACTATATAACAATTCCATCCCACATTAGCAGTGGCGAATCCACGTAAATATCATTTGCGCTTTCTACCAATATGTGGTATATATTTCTTTGATCGAGTACGCCATTAAATTGGCCATCCAATGAAAATATTTCAAACGAATCTCCTATATTATATATACAATTATTGTTTCCCCATCCAAAAATATATAATGCTCCAATTCAAAATACACCTTTCCGAAAAGTTCGTCCTCTAGTGCCGAAGTCCACCTGTGACTCATAGCATCGCTGATTTTTTATTTCTAGTCCACTGTTATTGATAGATACACAATTGGTGGCCAATCACTATTAAACAAACAAACCAACAAACACGTGTGATGAGACGGACATTCTTGTACATTGACTGCGCTGCGCTACTTATCTGAACAGCGATAGACGAATACATCATGGCTAGGGAGACTAATTTCTAAATAAACAAAGAATTAGAGAATACAAAACATGTTTGGAAAGACAACACACGCATACTTGTTTATCATGTCTAATGAAACTAGAGTTGAAATGCATCACCCCCCCATACATTTATTTCAAGCCACGACTATGCACATTTCAATTATCTGGATATTAGGGCTATAGTTTTTTTTGTTTGGATGTCTATTTCTGTAAAGGTGGCCTTCTCAATCATAAAACTTTTAGATCAACCGACAAAATTGGACGAACCTCGTACGGTAATCAGATATTATATTTTCAGTACGTGATTCATAGGGTATTACAAGTGATCGTAAAGATTAACAAATATATTTTTAGCATGTATGTAAAGATAGTGTTCACAGTTATAGGTTACCAATAAAGATAAACATAGTATCAATAATAAATGAGTTTATTCTTTAAAAAAATACTTTTTGATAAAGCAAACTGATATATAAATAATGCTTGTATAACTTACTCACAATGCAATGAACGCAATAAAAGCAAAGGGCAATAAAGGAATTTATTCTTTGAACTCCGTCAAATCAGCAATTCAAATAGAAAAACAAGTAAAAATAAAAATATTAGTTACATGAGCACCGTGAATTCGACTAGGAATATTTACTGTATATTATTCTGGAATACCCTAATCGTGTCATTGCAAACAAAATGCCGCGCCCCCTAGCGATGCTGAAATGGTAATGCATATGTTTTGATCTGTAGTCGTCCGTTAAAAAAATGTTTTTGAAAGATTTCTATATTCTAAATGGGAAAACAACAATGTTGTCAAAGTGAACTTTCACCCACCTACGTCATTTCTACGTCACAAAAGTGTGTCATCGCTAGAGGGCGCAAATTGTTTGTGTGAGTTCTTATAAATATATACGTCTTGAATAAATATAATACTTGTATTCGGTCGTATGGGTAAATATGGTCAGAAGTGTACTCGCAATTGTAAATAGTAATAAAATACACTCCAAGCGTATCCTGAGAAGTAACAATACTAAAAATGAATACTAAACGATTAAAAATGCTGTTACATAACACAATATGTTAGTGGGTAAATTCATATGGTAGCAACATATTTATCTAATCTAGTTTCTGCACAACGTGACGTACTTCAAGTACATATTATAAATCACTTTGTTCAAAAATAAAATGTCTGCATCTACTGCAGACGTTTTTTAATTTATAATTAATTGCACGTTGCTTCATATCTATAATAGAAGTGTATCCTCGTCATCGATGACGTCATCTCAGTTTTATTTCCAAAGATAAATTCAGTCTGAGTACTTTGACTCCGAAATCTGAAATAAATAATATAATATAAATAATAGTTAAAATACTGAACACTTGCAATACAAGAACCGGTACTGGAATGGAAGAAATGCTTGATTTTGGCGAGTTCCATAACAGTGTAGTGAAATATATTTCAGCAAATGTCGGTTAGAAAATACTTGTAAACAGGGTAAAATAATATATTTACTTATTTTTATGTTCAACAATGTTTCTCCTCTTACCATCTAAGTTGATGTTTGTTGTACTTGATTTGAACTATCCCACTAAGCTGAGTTGATTTGCCAGTTTTCAATTACATCTAATTGTGCTTGTATTGGTATCGCGTTTTCACTCGGAGACAGACATTTACGTATACATTCTTACAAACTACTCTTGTTTAAGCTAATGGACCAAATTTTCAAACTTGAACTTCATCGAGATTACACATTGGTTGATGATATTGCCAAGTTACAAAAAGATTTTACAAATATTACTACAATTGTCCCGGCCACAGGAAAGGGTTAACGGCGACGACAACGAGGACGAGGTGGTCAACAACATCCGTTTTAATCTACATACCCGTCACTTTGTCATAAATGTGCGTGAGTGAATACATTTGTTTTTTTTATTAATTAACCACCTTATATAAACATCGTTGGCAATTAAGCTATTAAAAGTTTGATACTGACCTCTGACCCCGTTGCAACATATGGTCGTATAAATCCATGATCTTCAGAGAACGCGGCTTCATATGGTTCTCCATAGTCTAATTTAGGTGGCTTGGCACGCATGTGTGGCTGTGAATAAGACACAATAAAATTAGTGCTGCGATTTAAACTAATAGGCGTGACTTTAATTCAGTTGATATATAGCTTGCTTGACAAAATATTAGTTGGTTTTAGTTAGTCCATTAACTCCTAGCCTGGTAAGCAGATCATGTGAGAAGAGGCCTGCTAAGCCGCGGAAAGTATCCTGGTTATCAGACTACATAACACCGGATATAACGTCTTGGTAACAATTCTCGTTAGTCATCTGATCATGGATCACATTGTTGCAGACTATACTCACCGATACTTCGGGTGCTTGGTTCATTACCATGGCTAAATGCCGCATTCGTTGGTCCATCTTAAATGTCGAGTCACCATTGCTAGCACTGACTTCACTGATGCTCTCACTGTACGAGTCCCACTCAAAAGAGGACTCGGGCCCTTGTTCAAGTCCATACGGTCGACTAACCGTGTGAGGGTACTTGTGGTCGACATAGGCGAAGTGTTTGCTTTGGTCTCTTTGGTGTCTGCGTCTACGAACTGCTCGACAGAAGGCGAACAGAAACACACAAAGAGCTACAACGAGTACAGCGGCCGTGGTCCCAAGGGTAGCAGCCAATATGACAAGCTGCCGGTCAGCAACGCCATCATCACCTGAAAACATAGGTCAGTGATACATTTTAATTTGAAAGATGTATGGAATAATAAAGTGCCTTAACTTATAAACGTATTTAAAAAATATAAATACCGATCATCAGCTCCCATTCGAATTGGATAGTGATTGGTTCAAGAGCTAAACAATGCCTAGGCATGCCATGCCTACCGCCCTGGTTAACCTTAAAGCGGGGATGTCGTCACCTGCGCATGCGTCAGATGGCCATAGCGTGTCACTGTTTACAAACAAGCGTCTACCCATGAGCCTTTGCGTGTGTGTATCCTTGCTTGAGACTCAATTCCCGCACGTGCGCAGGTGACGACCTTGCTGCAGTTTATGCAGCTCTCTTGGTCGTGGTATATGTTGCGGGGCGACCAGAGAGCTGCAGTTCCCTTCCCTAAAGAAATGCACAGATTTTTAAATATGCCAGTTATATATCATTAAAATTGTGATTTTAATAAAATTACCTCGACTTGCAGGAAAAAATAGACAAATATGTTCTCACAAATATATCTGTTACTGATTACAGCAAGCTTTAAGCAAATTTGCCCGTGTAAATGAGACTATTTCACGTTAAAACTGTGCCGAAGTGGAACCTCCGATTGAACGCCGCCATTTCGAAGCTGACCTCTATCACGTGACTTGGCTCTTTCAGTGACGAGTGTAATCACGTGACTACAGCGGACGGCCATCGGCGCCTGTCTGGGACAGCGCTTCATGTGACGAAACAACGGCAGACGGCTTTTTAGCTCCGCTGTCGACTTTGTCGAGCAGAGCTTATCATATGAGTGATTGTCCGTCGTCGTCCGTCGTCCGTCGTCCGTGTCAATGTTTTACATTTTCGACTTCTTCTTGAAAACTACAAGTCTGAATGCTTTGATACTTGGTGTATATGTACATTGGGTAGACCTCTCTCAGATTTGTTCATTTCATGATCATATCTTCAATTCTCTAATTTTGGTGAATATTTTTGTGATTTTTGGTAAAAAGTGATATTTTCAACTTCTTGTTAGAAACCGCAAGTCCAATTGCTTTGATATTACATATATAGGTACTACATGTGGACCACTCTCAAATTTGTTCATTTCATAATGATATCTTTAATTTTCTAATTTTGGTGAATATTTTTGTCATTTTTGGTAAAAAGTGATATTTTCGACTTCTTGTTAAAAACGACAAGTCCAATTGCTTTGATATTACATATATAGGTACTACATGTGGACCTCCCTCAGATTTGTTCATTTTGTAATGATATCTTTAATTTTCTAAATTTGGTGAATATTTTTGTCATTTTTGGTAAAAAGTGATACTTTCGACTTCTTGTTAAAAACCACAAGTCCAATTGCTTTGATATTACATATATAGATACTACATATGGACCACTCTCAAATTTGTTCATTTCATGATGATATCTTCAATTCTCTAATTTTGATGAATATTTTTGTCATTTTTGGTAAAAAGTGATATTTTCTTCTTGTTAAAAACCACAA